ATTGCTTCAGTGATGCTATCTAACCATCTCATCCTCTGCCGTCCTCTTCTCCTTTTGCCTTCAATCTTTCCCAGCATCAGGGTCTTCTCCAAAGAGATCTCTCTTCGCAACCATAATGGATTAGAACTTCCAAACCACAGACAAATATGAGCAGAGTGCAGCCCCTATATATGCCTATTCAGAAAGTTTTCAGTTCAGTAGGTGTTGTTTTAAACATTTTATGTCTTTTAATTTAGTTCAATTTTTACAATTTTAAAAATTTCCTGTGTTAAACCACCTCCAGGAGACACTGCGCTGAAAGATGGGGTAAAACTATTTTTGTGCAAATCTTCACCAAGATTTTCACCGAGTAAAATAGGACTGTTGTACTTCAGAAGTGGTATTTTTTTGGTCCACTGTGATCACTGAGTGCACTGGTAAGATTCAACAGCATAATTGCTAAAAATCAAGAGGGCATTTCCCTTAATATGAGGTAGAATAAAATAAAATTCTGCTGTGCATCCTAGAATAAGCCTAACAATTTTCATAAGCATCAGCTAAAACTTGGAAGAGAGTAAAAATTATGTTCATGTGTGTAATGCATCCTAGTCCATTTCATGTCATTGCTCAGCTCAGTGTGGTTGCCTCAAAAATTTTAACTGTGGTTTTCAATTGCTCACCATGTAGTGATGATGAGAGAAAGTGTCAAAAGCAATGTAATCCAAATTTCCTTAAAAGTGGGGCAGGCCCTATGCCAGGGCTAACAAGAATGTGAGCTGCAAGTTCCACTCATCCTCATGTTAAATAAGATACTTTTTGTAAATGGGTAGCTTGTTAATTTCCGTTTAAAAGCTAAAGAGGCATGCAATTTACAGAAGAAGAAAGAGCACACTAGATATAGTTCAGATTATGTAAAGTAGTGGCATAAAACTTATAAGGAAGTGGTGTTGTAATATGATTCGGAAAAGAAATTCTGCTTTAAACCGGAAAAGCTAGTTCTAAAATGTTAAAGATAACCAATACTGCTGGGAATAAAAAACAAGTGAAATATTTCAGCCTTTTTTTCAAAGTAATAGCTTAACCAATTAAATGTAGTTTAAAGGTTACTAGCTCTCAGATTCCTTTCTCTGTTAACATGAGACTGAAGTTAGGATTTTTTAAAATGTTGCATAATTCACAGTGAGGAAAGAGGATTACTTATGTGATAATTGTCAGTATTTATTAACTTCTTTGCATGTCCACAACTATCAGAATTGGCAGTTTGCTATAGTAATGAAATCTGAGTTTTCTCAATGTTTGAGGGATAGGCAAGATCTTATATTAGTACTGAAATCTACAGAGCATTGTTTACCTACCCTTGGGCTTGGCATGCTCTCAACTAGAATAGGTGAAACTGCAAAGAAGATAAGCTCAAACTGGCCTGATTCTCACAGCATGCTATGCCATCAAGTGTTTTGCTTATTTTGATTTGTGTCATGGAATCCACTCTTTGTAAAACAAGCTTTATAGCTTAGTAAGTTGCATGCATTCAGCCAATTCAGTAATCCATAGCTAAGCAAATCTTGGCTTAGTGCAGTATATGAACCAGAACTGTTCCATCTCAATCTTCAAAGAAGCTCTAAAGGGAGTCAGTCTGGAAATACAGGGTTACTTCTGATCCTCCCCATCAACTTGAGGTAGTCGGGATGAAGGGGACATGGCCACCGTACACCCCCTTTATGCTTAGTTTTATAATGTGAGAAGGCGGCTAAAATAAATCTACATCTGCATATGTGTCTTCTTTGGAGTTGTACAGTTTCAAGCTATGCATGGTTATTAGATATCTCTCAAAGTGTACATAAGACTTGTTAAGGAAATAAGATATAGTCAGATGTACTCTATTCTCTGGAAACTTATGTCATTCTTTGAGGTTCCTGAAAATCCTGAGTTCACACAGCACATTAAACCATAATGTGATTTGTTTAGATTAGTGTGTTCTATGAATCTAGCCATTAATTCTGTTGCATGAACCCAGGAAATTGTGGGTTATTCAACAAAGTGTGGCTAAGCAAACCATGGCTCAGTGAAATACTACATATGAACCCAATCTGTATTGTTTTGCTGCAACAGATGGAAACAATGCAGGTAGTCCTCACTTACCAACCACTCATTCAGCGACTGTTTGAAGTTATGGTGCTGCAAAAATAACTTTACATCCAGTTTACAACCTTTGGAGCATCCCTCAGTCACATGATCACCATTATAGTCAGTATGTTTTGTCCTGTACCTGACCTGTGTTTTTTTTTTCTTTTTTCCTATCTTGCAGAGCAGAGATATTGGAGAGAAAGGGATTGCAAGATGTTTGAAACAGTAAGGTGTTTGCCCTTCTACACATTGAAAGCAATGCGATCGCACCAGTAGCCTGGGGCTGGGAGCTGTAGGCATGCTACACGAACAGCTTACAGTACTCTCTAGAAATCCCTTCTCCAGTCTCTCTGCTCTGAGAGGGAGGGGAGAAGGGTCTGGCAAAGGAGAGATTGCCTACAGAAATCACTTGCTTTTTTTTTCTCCACCCCCCTTGCAGAACAGAGAGATTGAAGAGGAACAGATTTCAAGAGAGTACTGTAACTGTTTATGTAGTGTGCCTGTGATTCCCAGCCCTGGGCTGCCAGCACAATTGCATTATTTTTGATGTGTAGAAGAGCTATCAGCTTGCTCTCTTAAAATCCCTCTCCGGATTTTAGGATTTTAGATCCCTCCACAGGGGCGGGGGGAGCAACCAGTTCCTGTAGGCAATCTCTCCTTTCCCTGATCCTTTCCCACTGCTGGCATCACCACATTGCTTTCAATGCATAGAAGAGCAAACAGCTTGCTTTCTTGAAATCCCTCTCCATTCTCTCTGCTCTGTGGGGGGGGCGGGGTCTAGCAAAGGAGAGATTGCCTACTGAAATCACTTGCTCTTTTTCTCCCTCCCCCTTGCAGAGCAGAGAGCTCTGTACTGTACTGTAAGCTGTTTGCATAACGTGCCTGCCGCTCCCAGCCCCAGGCTGCTGGCGTGATTGCATTGCTTTCGATCTGTACAAGACAGTAAGCAGGCACTTGAGCATTCCAAAGGGCAGGTGTGAAACTGACTGGTCTTGACTCTTCAGCTAGAAAGCAGTCGCAGTCACGTGATTTCCCACTTAGTGACTGCTTCGCTTAGCGGCAGAGTTGCCAGTCCCAATTAGGGTCATTAAGTGAGAACTACCTGTAAAACTGTTTGGCTCATACCATCATCCAGCCATCACTGGCAATATATCACTAATGTGGAGAGACTTTTTATAATCACAGCAATTGTCTAGTGGCACTATATATAACAAATACAGAGGTCCTCACTCATACTACAGATTTAAAATGAGTGTATGAGAGCTGTGAATTGCAGGAGTTTTTTCAAATAACTGGCTGTGCTGTGCTGAATCTCCTTTCTTCTAAGATGAGATTTTTAGCCAATTCTGTTTGCTGTTGTTCCTACAAGATGTTTTGGTTGAAGCAGTGCCAATAAAAACTAGTTTCAGGTTTGCTATCCAATATATCAGATTTGACTCCAAGTCATGGACAACGGCCTGAGACTGGGAAATAGACCAGTCTCACTGGAGATAAACAAAATCACACTTTCTTTAAAAAGAAAAGCTAAATTGTAAAAAATCCCATTTTATTTTAACATTTTTGATGCAAACATTTACTGTTGATATAGTTAAATTACACAGCTGATCAGGTCATGATTAGCAGCTTTGTTACAGAAAAGTCCAGCAGAAAACAGAAGGCTTCAAGCAGATCACCAGGTGGTACTGGTTTGCTACAAATGAACAATTTTAGTCAGTATCACAAAAGAGGTGCTGCAAAGAGATTCCAAGTTATTATTACATATTATTATTCCATAGCACTGGAAACAAGTAAAAGGATCCAACCTAAAGGATGGATGCAGGCTGAGGTTTAAAGACCAGTTCTACTGTATAATTTATATAGAGAATGTGACATAATTACTTTACACAGCACAAACATTAAAATCCTAACACAAATTCTTTGCTAGACTTTAAAACTTCAGAAATAGTGATATCTGAAGCATCTGTTTCTCTGCTCCACTTTTCCTGAAATTCCCAGCTTCTTTGAAACTCCAAACCAATGACTTTGAGGGAGCAATGTTAAACTCCACTTTTCCAGCCTTGCTCTAGCAACTTTGGCAGTTTTGCCCTTTGCTTTGAAAAATCAGATTTTTCTGTCTCCAGCAGAGGAAGGAACATCATCCTTTCTGTATGTGACAGAGGAAATCTCCACCTCATGAAGATGTGGATTGGTGTCATTCCCTATAAGGTAGACCAGATTAAGAAACCTTGGTAGCAGCTCTTCCTCCTGTCCTTCAAGGCCATTCCCTATGTCCTGTACATCTGGAAGTGTCTGAGCCAGCTGTTTGTGGTCTGGAAAGCAGACTATTACATTCATAACAAGGTTCTTTTAGAAAGGAGATATAATTAAAACAATAATTGTAACCATGAACTATATTTTGACTTCAGAACTGCATGAGTACTTCTGTTGTGTCTTCTACTGCTGAAAAACTGTCAATTTCTAATGAAAAAGATTCTCCAGTCTTTTCCAGTATAAGTTTTGGGCCAGGCCCATAAGTTATTTCTTTCATAAGAAAATTGTGCTACTTACAAGATTGCCTTGGTTTTGTTTTGTTCTTTTTTCCTATCTAGTAATCATGGCTTCTAATCCAAGTGTATTGATGCGCCTTGTAGCCTCAGCATATTCTGTTGCTAATAAAGCAGGGACAATTGTCAGAAAAGTTATGTCTGGAGGAGAACTGGACATAGTGGAGAAGGTAAATGATCAGTAGAATCCTATGCATATCTAGTTGGAACTTATCTGTCCAAATAAAGAATTGATCAATGCTGGTATTGAACCAGGACAAATCCTTTGCATCTGTACTCAAAGTAAGGTTTGTTGTATTCAATAGGGCTTGCTCAGTAATAAGTGTGTTTAGCATTGAAGCCTCATTTATTTTAGACTAATGCACAAATCATTTGGTGAGGCAGTTCACCTGCAAGCAAATCACCCTTCTGGATTCACTCTTTGAAACAGTGACAGCTGCTCAAAGTTTCAATGCAACTTATTCTGTGCATGCCCAGACAACATCTGTTGGAATAGCCATTGAAGTGGCTCATCAAATATTTTATAGTCATATCATCAATATTAGTCATTTGGAGAAATGTGTCATTTGCCTGAAAAGTTACATAGCTCTTGAAATAATGCATAACATGATCTTTTCTGCCTGTTTGCCCACTTTCTTGCTTTGAATAGTCTTGAAGACATAGACTATTCTAGGGAAAAAGACGAAATTTTCCTGCTTTCCAAGGATGTTAAAATAGCAGGATTCAAATATTTAACAACCTAGTTCAGAGCCAGGAAATGTATGGTTCTCCAATTATTGAAGTAGAATTCCAGCAGCCCTAGCCAGCCTGGCTACTGTTGAGAGATGCTGGAAATTGTAATACAGAAATATCTAGAGGACCACCATTTTCTCACACAGACCTCGGAAAGCAAGAATAATTGGTCCATATTTATTATATTTTATTCCACCTTTTTGCTCAAGGCAGTGCATATTGTTCCCTGCACCATTACTTTTATCCTCACAATACCTGGGAAGATACTGGCTGACTTAATGTTACCCAGTAAGGGTCAAAATGAGAATTTGACTTTTGGTCTCTCCAGTCATATTCCAACGTTCTAATGATTATATCACACTTGCTAATATCCATGACTCAACTTGGATCATCTTTAAAGACCTGATGGCCATACAGTATGTACAAATACCTTCAATAAATATGATTTTATATAAAACCATGTAATTGTTCAATTTTTTAAAATGGTATTTGCAAATAAGTTCAGTATATGTTAGTGAACTAGGCAAATGTAGTATTGCTCAAGGCAAATATTTTTCTGAAGTGGAATACTTTAAAACATTTACCTGGCACATGATAGTAAAATGACACATACACTTGGAAACATCCACAACCGTGAAGACTTTCAAGGATGTTTGTCAAATACATGTTGCAAAGTGCCCTTCCAGTAATATTTGTATCTTCTTAATTACAACACAATTCCATTTAGCCATGTTGTTGCTTTGATTGTAAATTGATCAAGTTTCTTTTTTTTAAATAGTGTGGAGCTAATGACCTGCAGACTAAAGCTGATCGATTGGTGCAGATGAGCATTTGTTCGTCTTTGCTCCAGAGGTTTCCTAAGGTGACAATCATAGGTGAAGAGGTGAGGACTCTATCATTATGCTCTTTTGTACTTGTTTGATTTGATGCACTACCTTTTCACAACTCTTTTTTTTAGGAAAAAAACCCCGTGAGATATATACCTTTGATCATCTGCATTCCAGTCTCTCCACTGTTTTTCTCCCATATGATCATGACTCTGCTGCTTTATGCATGGGTATTTAACTTGCATTCAAATAGTGTAATAAGAACTTTTAACTAATACTCTGATTTAGGGTAACAAGACTAAAATAGATACCATAACTCAGCAGCACCTATATATAATATTTTTGTTGACTTAGAAATAAGAACTATTAGCTATCTTGGAATTCATTTGTTTATTTAAACATTTATAGAGCTGCCCATCTCACAGCAGTGACTCTGGGTGGCATGCAAAAATTAAACCACCATACAGGTAGTCCTTAGTTAATGATGGCAATTCAGACTGGAATTTCTGTTGCTAATGATGTGGTTGTAAAGCACAACATCACATGATTGTGTCGCTTAGCAACAGCAGTCCTGGCATTTCCCGGTTGTCACTGTTAAGTGAATCCCATGATGTTGTTAAGTGAGGACAACATGTGGTTGCCATTTGTGATCTCCTCCAGCTTCCCAATTGACTTTGCTTGCAGGAAGCCGGCAAAGAAGGTTGCATGTGATGACCATGGGATGCTATGATGTACTTGTGAGCCAGGTGCCAAGTGCCCAAATCACAACTACATGACCGCAGGGGACTGGTTGCAAATACCACTTGTTCAGTGCCGTTGCAAGTTCAAATGGTCTCTGAATGAGTGGTGGTTAAGCAAGAATCACCTGTAAGCCCATTTCTTAATAGAGTCCTTGCTCTCTATGGCTCATGAATTTAAACATTTATTTAAATGTTTAAACTCAGCTTTTTATTTAGAGGCATCTGAACTTACAAGACTCATCTCTCTTAGTTTCACTCCATACAAGGCACTACTGAAATTTGTCTCTCTGCCCCCATTTTATTTATTTATTTGCATTATGAACACTTGTATGTGTGTATTTAATAAACACTTTTGCATTTTCAACTGTAGCAGTAAAGCTATTTTTGCAATGTACACCTTGGGTTAACACCTTTTTGCAATTGAATCTACCAAAGTTACAGGCTACAAAAAATACTATCTAGCCAATTTGTTGCATAGACCTTTGCTAATAATTTCTGGCATATTGCAGTGCTAAAAAAAAGTCCAGCTTTCAAATGCTTCTCTTTCACTGAAATTATTCTAACTTGCCTCTAGTGGACTAATAAATGAGTAAGCATTTTTTACTTTAACTGCACATGCTTTTTTTAAAACAAAACAGGATCTTCCCTCTGAAGAAGTAGATGAAGACTTACTTGAGAAAAGCCAATGTGAGGAGATACTGAAGCAAGCCTGTCCACCACAGTATACTGCCATCAAAGAGGAAGAGGTATTTAAAAGGTTTTTTTTTTTATAACAACTGATTTATTTTCCACACTGTAACAACTGTGGGGTGGAGTCAATTGTGATTTGAGAAATGTTTGACTATTCGTGGCTCCATTGCAGCTGGGCAGTCTTTGTGGCCCAGCAATGATTTACTCTCCACACTTTCGCCTTCTGAAACTTTCTGCTTTTCTTGTGTTTCCTTCAAAGCTTGTTGTATGGGTCGATCCTCTGGATGGAACAAAAGAATATACTGAAGGTTTGTTCTTTGTTTTTTTGGTGGGGGTATTTAATAAATGTTTCCATTTATGGGCTTAATGACAAAGCCATCCACAATTGTCTGGCTTCTAGATTAATGTCTATCATTTATGTGTGATCAAAGGATAAGTAGAAGTCACAGTTACCTTTTAGAAGTTTGGTAGTACAATAGAAACTGTGCAGTGAGAAAAAGTAATCGAGTGACTCATTCTTCATTATTGACTGAGACCCAGCTTTTTCTTAGTGCATTTACCACTATAAATGTATGCGGATGCATTTTTGTGCTGGAAGATATCGCCTAAAACAATAACCATTCTGCTTTACCTGTTTTAATTATTACATTTTTTTGTAAGGAATCAAGGTCATCTATGTGGTTCTCTCATCTCTCTAATATGGGGTACATTAAGTTGAGAGTTGTGCACCATATAACAACAAGCCCAGAACCTTTGTTTTTTACAGCTTTATTGCTGCAGGGACATAATTATTGCTTTGATGACTAGCATCTTTTAAGATTGCATTAGAAACTTTTCGAGCTGTAATAGAAAGCTCATTAAATTAGTTCCAGGAGTAGAGGGTTGGAAGTGGATGTCTAGGTACTTAAAATCCTTAACCTGATCAATTAGTCTTTTGTTGGTTTCTCATTTAATGATGGACTTAAAGCACTTTTTAAAGAAAACTAGAACCTTGGTTTTTGAGTGATTGATTTCAAGAAATTCCCTAGAACAGTAGGATGCTAAAGCAGGTAAGTATCTATGAAGGCTCACTTGGTTTATGGATAGAGTGGCCAAATCATCTGCATACAAGAGAATTGAAATAGGGTAGCGGGCAAGTGTTGGAGGGTGAAATTGTGGTTTAGAAAGATGAACCACAATTTGGTTGTGATTTAGAAAGCTAAACCATAAGGGGGCAGCATACAACCCTGTTTGAACTCCTCTGAGGATAGGGATGGGGAAATCAGAGTTGATTCCTCCCCTGCATCGCCTCCAGCCACTGGGACAAGACCTTGACAGCCTCATTTGACTGGCCTGAGATTGAGAGATGTAAGTGGGTATTATCCGCAACCAGTTCAATGTAGATGTTAAACAAGAGGGGAGAGAACGTTGAATTACAGTTTCCCCATCTCAGCATATGGGAGGGCAATTTAATGATTATATGTGTATGATTATATGTGTACAATAGCATCTGCTGTATGTGCAAAGTTAACTACAGTACAACCTCATTTTAACAGATTAATTGGGGGCAGGTGGTATCTGTTATTCTGGCCTAACCATTGAATTGAAAAGTAAGGCAACATGGGGATTATGCAATGATATAAATTACAATGGAAATCTGATCCACTGCATGCAAAATCATTGCAACCAAGTTTAGTAAATCAGGATTTCACTATAATTTAGCTATGACACATGCAATAATATCCTCTATAAAAATAAAAGAAATTTAATTTTCCCGTAAGAGAGTTAATTTTCTTGGAATTTTCTTGTTTTACTTTAGTGATTATTGGGGCATTTTCTTAGTAAATGCTACCAAGGATCATAAACTCAGCTGAGAATAACTTGTTTTTTTCCCTCCTCATTTGTAATTCTTATTTTCATTGCCTGTATGGGGTTGGTTTTTGTTTTTTTTTACCTATATGGGGATCCGGCAAATTGAAAAAGCATCCCAAAGATATTTGAAACTTTCTTCTCAATCTATTGTTACACTGGGATTATATGACATTGTATCATGGATAATGTTCTACTACAGAATTGATGTCTTTGGCTGTTTTGCTGAGTTAGAAATCAAGAAATATGTATTCTATGCATTTGATCCTAGAGAGTAGTGAATTGGAAGATACCTTGTTAAAGCAAGGCAGGTATGGGTTCTGCTTTATTGTTTAATGATATGGAAGAAAAATGGCTTTGAGTAATAAATGGCAGTAATAAAATGCAGTAAGTTTCTGGGGCACTATAATGTGCTAAGCTTTAATGTGGGCTTGTTTTGGCTTTGTGTGTTGGGTGAAAACACAGCATTTAGCATATTGTATAAACCCAACCAATTGTGGCTTATTCAACAGACATAGTTGAGGAACTTAGCATCATGTGTGAACTATCACTGAAATTATTTGTACCACATGAGTCAAGTGTAGAAAGTTACAGCAACCTTGATTTTCCTTTCCTTCCTTCCTTCCCCCAATGACAAATGTTTATCTCTTTCAGGACTTCTTGACCATGTAACAGTTCTTATTGGTATTGCTTACCAAGGAAAAGCTATTGCAGGTGTCATTAATCAACCATATTACAACTATGAGGTAGGAAATGTTTTGATTTGCAAAGCATATTTCTTCACCTAGTTTAGACATTTAACATTCTTCTATTTAACTGCATATAACTTCTAATCAGCTAGAACAATGGGGTTAAGTGGCTTGTTACTTAGAAGGAGGAATGGGCTTATTCTTTTTTTTTTTTCCCCTAAAGTGCCCTAGCTAAAAGTATGTTCACAACAAGTGCTGCAGACTCATGGCAGATTTGGAAGTAGCACAAATCCATATTTCAGACTGCATGTACTACATTTTTGGCATTCAGTGCAATAATCCTTCCAAATTCTCAGTGGCTTTAGCAAAGGAACTAGGAAAGTGGCTTGTATAGCTGCAAAAATTCATGACTCATTTTACTATACAAAATTGTAACATGTGCTGAATTTTGCTGAAGTAAAGTCTGAATTCAGAAAACTTCCTGACTATTTTGCAGAAATGAGCTAATATTAATGAAGTACTCCCTATCCTGATTACTCTAGATTTTAAACATCTGTGGATATGCTTCCTCTTTTTACTAATTTAGTTTCTCCACATTTGAGAATGTATCTTAGGTACATTGTCTATAGTGCTGGCTTTGTCCTTTATGACAAAGGGAAAATAATGCAGAAGAAGCACATTGCATACTGGAAATTAAAGCAGTAAAGCTGAAAATACATTGAATGATAAAAGGTATAGAGGAAGCTCTTCAGTTAGATAATTAAGGCAGACTAAAGTTGCAAACCTCTACTTATTTGCATAATGGTAAGTCTTTCAGCAGCATAATTGTATTATTGCATTCATCTGAAAGGAAGAAATGTGTATCTTTGCAGATAATGTACATTTAAATGGTTCATATTAGATTTATGAGAATACAGTAATGTAATGGAGCAGATTTATTTTTTTTGTCTAATCTGCATGCAGGAAGGAACGTCCTAAATTTTGGTCATCCTTTTGCATAAATATCTCCAGCTATCATATATGTTTATTTCATTTGTTTATTGTTCAAACTGAGACTAGAAAGTTTAGACCTTTCTTACAGGCAGGTGCAGATGCAGTTCTAGGCAGGACAATATGGGGAATCCTTGGTTTGGGTGCCTTCGGGTTTCAACTGCAAGAAGTACCAGCTGGGAAGCACATCATCACCACCACAAGGTCACACAGCAGCAAGATGGTAAATGACTGCATTAGTGCAATGAACCCTGATAGCGTGGTGCGAGTTGGAGGTGCTGGTAATAAGGTATGGACCTCCCTAAATTTTAATGTCATGAAAATAAGGTTAATTTTTTAAAAGATCGAGACAAGACTTTCATTTTTATAATCAGTGCCACCAGATGATGTATATCTTCCAATGTGATTTAAATCACATTGCATGGATGGGACATATGAATTGTGGAAATAATTTTGTTAATTGTTTTAGCCTCTTTGGGATTTTATTTAATTATTTATATATCATATTTATGTGGCAACCATCAGTGTAGTAGAGATTCTTAAAAGAGTGGCTTAGAAATGGATTGATACTTTCTTTAGAGAGAATGTCCTCACTTCTCATCAAGAATGTTCTGTTTTTTCCTGTAAGCCATAACTAAACTAACTAAAATGTTAATCATGTAAACTTTACCATTTGAATACAAATTCAAAGGTAACATTCATCTGAAAAATGTGTATGATTCTATCTACAAAGAAACTGCTTGTTATGTATATATAAGAGCAATGGAAAAAAGCCATTGAGAGTAATCAACAGCTAAAACATTGATCTGTATGCAACCTCATTTCTTATCTTTAAAAACATTGTATATGTGCATATGAATGACTGAGGTTTTATTATTTGTATTAGATCATTCAACTTGTAGAAGGCAAAGCTTCTGCTTATGTATTTGCCAGTCCTGGGTGCAAGAAGTGGGATACATGTGCACCAGAGGCTATTTTGCATGCAGTTGGAGGTGAGTTAATAAATACATTGGAGGATATATATGTGTGTGTGTGTGTACACACACATACATATACATACACACACACTGCTTAGATTTAAATTAAGGTTTCTTTTATTCATATCTATTGACATTGGTATCAATAAATAGAAAGCAGTTTCTAAATTCTTCAGACGTACATGAATAAGCAAGGAGTCAAAGCTTGTTGACTGGGCTATTACAGCATACTTGGGTTCTGCAAGCTTTGAAAATTGTTTGGAAAGAAGTGCTTCAGAACTCCCAAGAACACAGAACCCTGCTCTTATCTTTTAAAGTAGACTGTTACTTTCTCCAGGCTTCCAGGAAGGTCTGAAAAAAGTTGTAACTGCTTTAAGAATCATATTAATTATGAGTTGATTTCTTAATACATCAATGTATTCATTAATTGTGTGTTTTAAAGAAAGTGGAGAACTGCTGCAGTACTTGTGAGATGTCCTGAGCACTGCTTCAAAATAATTTTCAGAGTGAGCATAACCTTACAGTGCACTCATATAACTATTAATTCTCCAGCTAATCCAGTATTGCTTTTCTTTATGAGGTATGGGAGTATATGTGTGTATGTATGAAAGCTCTGTGTCTCAACCTTCTTTTTTATGGTCAGAGTTATACTGATTTTGATGCCAGTTTTGTGTGCTAAAGCAAATTAATTGTATTGTGTACTTGCCCATTGTACACAAACATAAGGGGAAAATTCAAATTTAGACAATTACAATTTGGAAAAGGAAAGTTCAGTTTTGGGAACTATTCTTTAATTTTGTAGAAATACAGATAGTGTGTCTAAATCCATTAAAATCTAGTGTCTTGTTTTCCTTTTCTTTCTTCACAGGCAAGCTTACTGATATTCATGGAAACTTCTTCCATTATAATAAAGAGGTCAAGCACATGAATTCAGGAGGAGTCCTTGCCGCCTTAAAAAATCATGACTATTATGCCAGTCGAGTTCCTGAGACAGTCAAACAAGCCCTTGTGCCCTAAAATGCAAAGGATAGTGCATTCCATTTGGCTGGGAAGAACTTCTTAGTTGAAACAAGTTGTGATTTTTGATAGAGTAACACATTGATCCAGTACCATGATCTTTAGTTAGAAATTTGTTGCTTGGTTAACTTAGTGTACATTCCTGGTAAACCTGAGATTTTGGTTTTCAGTTGGAATAATAGTGAACTCAATAAAGTTGTCTACTCTGTTAATGTTTCGCATCATATATGCATGCCTACTGAATTATATCTTTATTCAGTCTGTCTTAATTTGAAGGGGAAGATAAATTAACTGAACCACAGTTACTTCAAATAAATGACTTTTGTATGCAAGCCTCATTCACTCATGCTTCACATGAAGGGATCATTTTACTAGGAGAATAATAGGTCTAGCTAGCTAGCTTTTGTTTACACATACATGGGTGTGGGAGGGTGTCATTTCTGTCCCTAATGCCCCCCCATTTTCACACGATGAATTCACATGGAGGGATCCGGAAATATACCTATTTCAGCCTTCATATGCTGAAAATACAGTCTTGAGCTAATAAAATTATAATTTTTGGTGGTTATATTTGCCAGGTTTTTATTTGTGGGTGTTTGCTTGTTCTGATCTTGGTTAAGGCTCTCCTTTTCCTGGTTTATTCCTGCAATGTCTGAATTGGGCAGCTCTGAACCTGAAACACTAGCAGTCTGAATCAGTGGTCCTTCCTCTGCATTGCATCTGAAACGGGTCCAGCTCTCAGAAACAGCTGGTGCCTGACGGAGATGTGTGAAAGAGTCGGTCCCTTTTCCTGAGGGCTGTTTTCTGAAGACCAAAGTGGACTCGGCTTTCCAGCCTTCTCAGGCCTGATGGAAACAAACCTTGCTTTCATTCTGTTAGGTCTACTCAGGGGCTACATGAAACGTGCTTGGAAACTGCCACGCGCCCGTTCTGCATCTAATACTTGGGAACCGGCGTTACGGCTTCGGGGAGCGCGGGGAAAGACTCCAAGGCGCGGGAGGGAGGAGGCACGCGAAGGCGTGGACGGCTCGCTCAGCCTTA